TAAGCAGTGCATTCCAGATCACAATAACTTGCTACGCAATGTAAAATTTTCCTTCATGTTATCTCTTTTGTCAAATTCTCCAAGCCTGTGTCCTTTGGTTACTGGTCCATCTGCCTCTAGAAAAACCTTAGCCTTTTATACCCGTGTAGCCTTCGAGTTTGATTATCTCCAAATTGCCTTCAAATTTCTGTCTAGGTACATATTCAAAGGTTTTCTAACCTCTCCACATGAGGCCCTTCATCCTTATTATCATTCTAGTAAATCTACTTTGCAGTCTCACCAAGGTCTTACTGCCCTTCCTAAAGGAAAACAGAACCAACTTTAACACTCCAGCTGGGCCCTAAGAAAATTAAATTGAGTCTAATTAATTAAAAAACCAAACCAAATATATTAAATTAATCTACTAATCCAATTTTAATTGGATTTGCAATTTTTATGCTTCATTGATATGAAGGGTTGATGCAAATTAAATTAACTTAATAAAATATCATTAGATTAGTTCAAATTACACAATTTACTGACATTTCAAATGAAAATTATATAAAATCATTGTAGCAATGTTTCTCAACCAACAGCGCATAACCATTGATATGCAATGAACTCAGTGGAAACTTAAGACCAAATTGATCACTAAGCCTTAGTTTACTTCCTTAAAAATAAAATTAAGAACTGCTACAGGTTACTGATAAAAATTAATTTGACACTAGTTTTATATTGGCATGGTATTAATTCATTTTCTAAAATATAGTTTCAATGAACAAATTTCCTGTTGTTTACACAATAAAATTCAAGTCTCTTTCAGTAGAAGACTTAAAGAACCAGTATTCATACGTAACTATGGGTTTGCAATTGAGTAGTAGTGTTCAATTTAGTTCAATAAATACCAATGGCCAGCCAGCTCTTCAACAATTCTCTCAAAATCTGTATTAAATTATGCCAATATTGAAATAGCTACCGGTATACTTAAGATTCCAATCCATCTTTGAAGAAAAGGAAACCTACTGTAGTTCAGCCAACATTCAATGCTCAAATCAAAATCTCTAAAATGGGCTGTGGTCATTTGTATCATTGACAGTTTGCAAAACTTTGGCGTACTTGTCTACAAAACAAAGACTATAAATTAACCATTGTAAAATGGCTGCAAAACAACTCACGATGTCCCGAGGATGTGAAAAGCACCGTTAATAGCAAGCTTCTTTCTTCAAAGCATTATGCAAGCAAGCTATTTAAGTGTTGTTCAGGGTTTTTTTTGGGGGGGTGGCAAAAAAAAAACCCAAATCCCTACATACATTAGACATTTATGGGAATTGCCCAGGAAGTTTAAACTTCATGACTTTATCCCATCTTTATGAATGGGATCAACCAAGAATGGAGAATTGGGTCAAATTCAGGGATTTAACTCAATATTTATCCAGCAAGCATTAAGACAGTTTAATACCAGCTGTGTAACTCACCCGCACATTAAACATAAAAAGGAGGGGTCAGCTAGTTCAATAGGCTGGGTGGTTTGTTTGCAATACAGAGTTACACCAAAATTAGTTGGACGAAGAAACTCAATGTTTAAGTGGTAAAGTCTGTTTTTTTTAATTTCAGTACAGTGTGAAAGATAGTGACATTCATACTTACTAAATAAGTATGGATCTTTTTGTTGAATGATGTTAAAATTATGACCGAAATCTTTCCGCTTGCCAAGCACTTCCCAATTTGATACAGCCAGACTTTTTTTTCCAGATCTCCTCCGTTTGACTGACGCAGAAAAGCATAATATAGCATCTCTATAAGGGAGTTCTACACTCCCTCTATAGGGAGTGTAGAAGAGTTCGGGGATGGAGAACATCACTTTTTAACAATGTGTAAGTTTTTAAAAGGTTTAAGCCCCTTGAATAACCAATTGGGTGAGGTATGTGATGTGGAATAGGTGGATTAGAGAGGTATGTGGCTGCATTGAATGAGAAGGTGATTATGACCAGATTTGGGTAGTTGCTGTATTCTGGTGGTCAGTGGGTTGTCTGATCAGTTTAAGTGGTTAGGTCATTGGATAGAAGATTCTGGTTGAGTGACTGCAATTGATAGTTGGGTGAGCAGGTTGGGTCAGTGGTAGTTGAGGTTGAGTGTGTGTGTGGAGTTGGGTCAGTAGGGTGTAAGTCACTTTTTCAGAGGTGGTCAGTTCCAGTGTAGGCGGTGAGTGGTGGATAGGAGATGCTGTGCTGTTGTGGGATGGATAGGCATTAGGTGTTTGTTATAAGTAAAGTCATCATTGTCCCAGAGGATCACAGGTTGCATTCTCATCAGAGAAAGACAGCAGGTGATGAGTTTAAACTGAGGGTCAAAACCCCTCGGGCGAGGAGTGAGGTCAAAATTTGGGAATTGAATCCCTGGAAAAAATCTGGCTGCATCAGATTGGGAAGTATCAGAGATAGTAGGAACTGCAAATGCTGGAGAATCTGAGATAACAAGGTGTAGAGCTGGATGAACACAGCAGGTCAAGCAGCATCATAGGAGCAGGAAGGCTGACGTTTCGGGCCTAGACCCTTC